ATGGTGCTTGCCAACCCTATGGAAACTTTTGGGAGCACGTGACTCGCACCTGGGTGGTCACTCTTTTTGTCAACTATATCTATATGGAGTGTACAAGGACACAATTTTTGTTTTGTTAGTGCAATGATGGGACCCTTAATCAGAGTCCTAAAAGTTAAACTCCAACAACCTCAATTAAATTTCATAAAACTGTTAGTTTGTCCATGTGTTTCTAGCACTCGGGTGGCCCCTTGTTCTCTTGGTCGAGTCGAGCGCTCAAGACTTGTGCTAGTTTTATAAAAGTTTTGATTGAGTTATGTATAATTTATCAATTTTAATGAGATGTTTTACTTTATTACTAGTCATTAGAAAGAAGTTTTCTTTTTCACATATCACATAATTATTTGTTTACATAGTATTTAATCATCAATTCTTTAATTCATACATGTATTATGGTTTCACATGACATTCTATAAAATTTCATTTTAAATTTTCACGTTTTTGAGCAAATTTTCATCATTTTTGTCGAAGACAACCGATACCGAGTGAAATATATTTATTGATATTTTCATAAACGTACATATTGATATTTCCATAAATTTGCATATGAATATTTCCATCAATATTCATACTTTAAACACTATGATTGGTTGATTATGATCATGAATCCATGTTGAAAATCATGAAATTTTGATGCTATCCAAACCATTCAAATATATGTTATTTGAAATCATTTATGTGTTCTTTTTTAAATGGAGGGTGGAAATCATCATGTTGGAAATTTTAATATTATTGTTATATTAAATTTATTAATTGAATGGAAATTAAAAATGATTTCTTTTGGTGGAAATATGTGTTTTTTTTTTTTTTTTGAAGAAAGGTGGAAATATGTGTTTGTCTTAACTCTTAATAAAGATTTGCAATTTTTTGCTTTTCATGAAAGGTCACATGTTTTTTCAAAGAGTTATCTCAAATTCTATAAATAGGAAGCCCCTTATAATCATTTAATCATATATTCAAACATATAATGCACTATTGTTAGAGAGTTTTGTAGTGTCCCATTGAGTCCATATAAAAGAGTATTAAAAATAATCGTGGTTCATTGGAGCTTTGTGATTTGGAGTGCTGCAACTATTACAAGCAAGGTATAAAATATCGATGATATTGGATATATCGGTAGTCCAAAAATACAGAAATTTCGATGGAAATATCAGGATATTACCGATATCGATAAAAATTGAATAAAACCCACGGAAATTGTAAGAAAAACTTGGAAATTTTTATTGAAACTTTGCAGGATGTTTATTTAGTTAATTATCTATTAGTTTATCACAAAAAAAAAAATTTGGAAGGAAATGCATTGCATGATGGATTTAACTGATTTAAGTTGATTATATGGCGAGCTGGCAAACATTGTGAGTGTAGAAAATATGTAGTAATTAATGAAAGAAGTTTAAACACACCATAATCATTTATATATAAGGAATTAGTACAATATTTTACACTTTATACATTGCATGGTAAGATACATGAGTGACTTAGTACCACATAGAGTTCCTATCAAGGTCTAAAATATCAATGATATCGGAAATATCGGTAGTCCAAAAAACACGAAAATTTCGATGGAAATATCGGGATAGTATCGATATTTTAGACCTTGATTACAAGAACGTGGTCGTTGTATCCTATAAGACAAGCGCCGATCAACCATAAACATCATAGTAGGGCGTAAACTTGTCGTAAGGATAGAATGTCCAACATTTGCCTCAACCATATATTCGGGTTTTTCTAATCTATTATGTCATGTTCATTTAACAATGGTTACTCATGTACACATTACTTTGATATATAATTGCACAAATTATTTCTTAATTTTCTACATGATTTAATATAGCAATTAGACGCTAAAATTTTCCAACGGATCACAATGTGGCTAACACTCTTTTCTCACTTTCTTCTTTTGGAAATGGTTTTTGTATGCAAGAGTTTGCAACAAGCGTGTGTCTTTGATTTGAATCAAGGTCACTTTATAACTCTTAAGGCCAACAGAGGAAAAGTAGAGATTTGAGGCATCTAACTTTGAAACATTAAAACGGAGGGAGAATGGGATAATTGTATACATAGAAAAAACATAGGTGTAAACGTCTACAATGTATAAATGTTTTAACTTTGAACATATAAAATGTCAATTATTAGGTAATCTCCAACCGAACGGGCTATGTTTAGCCCCTGTCCAAATTATAGCCGTGTAAGAAATTATTTTTTAATAAACAGTGATAGACCATATTTATATACCATCTTCAACCGAAATTGACTATTTTTAGCCCCCTCAATAATTTATTATTTTAAGTTTGTTCTTTAATTTTATTGGTTAATTGAATTAAATTGTCATACTAAAATAAGGTTTCTAGACATATTTTGAATGCCACTTGTCACTAAATGAATAGACCTTCGGGTTTTTATCTTTATATAATCTTAATCATTTTTCGGATAGAATTTTGAGTGACACGTGTCGTTAAAGTGAGCAACTCTCCATATTATGGAAGGGTGACAATAATGTGAGAAATGGTTTATGTATTTATAAAAAAAATAAAAAAAAATACAAAAAAAAATTAGATTTTTAATATTTTTTTTAAATTTCATCCTTTTAAAAAAAATTCAAATCCAACAACTACATGACGTTATGTAGACAATGGCTACTGTAGGTTGGGCCCCATTAGCAGGCTGTCTGGCTGGCTTCAATTCCCCAGCTCGATGGTCATGGGCTGGAGTTTGGCCCAGTATGCCCCTTTTTTCCTTTGGCCTGGACCTCTATTGGAGATGGTTTTTTACTCATTGTGGGCTATAAAAAAGCCCATAACCCTATAACCTAATCCATTGAAGATGGTCTTATATATTGTGTTAGGTATGTGGTCTGTTGGAATATTACTGAACTAAATTGTTGATTAACGTGCTTATTTTTATTAGTGACACATCACATGATTTACAAATTTAGTCTACCTAGCAGGAAAGATGTGGGTTAAGTAATATTTAACTCGTGATCTGAGATCTATTATTTATGAGTGAAATATAATACTATTAAACTGTATATAGTCATCCCGTGACCTTTTCTTTTAATTCAAACAAAAATAAATAAATAAATAAAAGAACATTGGTAATTTGGTAGGAACCTAAAACCTTGTTTCTTCAATGATTTCTTGCATTGATCAAGATACTACTAAACTGTATGTAGTCGTCTCGTGACTTTTTCTTTTAATTCTGTAAACCCTAAAAATTACCAAGTCTACGTGGCGTGTAGGCCGAGTAACTAATAAGCTAATTATGTCCTTCGGTTATGTGGGGCGTGCTAACTCGACGACCGAGCTCGACCAGGGAGTAAAATGTGTTGATGTTGCGTTGAGCACGTTGCTAACTTCTTGATCCTGCGATTGCAGCCCGAGGAAGGAACAAGTCTCGGCCTTTGGGTTCTTGAGCCTGAAGACAAGGCTGCTAGTTATGTGAAGTTCACAAATCGTCGGCACTAGGTTCGGTCACAGTGATTATATTCGTAAGAGTGTAAGCACGTCAAACTGACACCAGGCTATATGGACACAAGTATTCGAAAGAGATGTATGTCTTTATAGTAAATGTGGTTCGGCCGTCGGAATGTCAAACTCTGAAACTCATTTGCAAATTCCAATCATAAAACAACTCGACGCTCAATGTGCCGAGCCTAGTAACCTATAACACCTCACTCCGCCGAGAAGGCTGATGAGATGACCTCTACCAACAAGAACTCGAAAGTCCCTGTCGACCGAAACTTGGATAAATAACTAGTCGGTCTCGAAGTAGTGCTGTTTATCCAAACTGAATGTCCTCATTGATCGGCTGATTCTACGACTTCAGTGTTGTTTATCCAAACTAAAGATGTCGCCGGTTGTCTTCACAATGTTGTTTATCCTAATCGAAGATATCGCCGGTTACCTTCACAGTGCTGTGTGTTGGCGGAAGAAAAGGGAGAAGGATAAAATCTCAAGTTGTTGAGAAGCTTTGCGCATGGCAATTTGTGTATTGAATTGAAGAGAGCCTTGAACAATGCACTCCCTCTTCTATTTATATATAGTAACAAACCCCTTTATGGCCGAGCTAGAATCGTACTCGGATTAGAACTCTTCAACCCAATCTGATTAGGTTTTGGCCAGTCCTAGCTCCAATAGGAATTTGAACCAAACTCCATAACAAACCAAATTAATCTCTTGATCCTAAGCACCTTCAGCTTCAAAACTCCTTGTTCCACTAAGAATCGACTACTTCACCGTTTATCTAAACTAATCCTCTTTGCAACAAGATTCAGTCGACCCTAACTGGACAACCCACAGGAAAATTCTAAATAAATGCCATTGGGCAAGAATAATCCCAGGCTCGCCCCAAAATAATATTTTGAGCTCAAACAAATTATGAAGTTTCTGGAGCTAGAGGGCAAATATGACATATTCTCGAATGGACTTGTTGAAAGGTAGTTGAAAGAATGTGATTTTGCACTTTGAGAACATTAACGAAAAACTCCCGGTACTATTTACTTTAACAAAAAACTATATTTTTACCCTAAAAAATCAATCATGATACTATTCAATTTACCTTTTATTTTGTTCTTATCATGAAAACTCAAAATTTTCAAATCCTTTTCCATTAATTTTCCTATTTTTCTATCCTTTATAGTTTGAATAAATATAAAACCCACCCAAACTTCACATTCATTCATTCATTCACAATTCATTGCATAAGAAAACCTTTGCAACACATTGAACAAACGATTTTCTCATTCTTCATTGAGGTTACACGAAAAACCGAACAAGAAGTCCAAATCTGATCAACGACTTCATGATTTTCAATAACCACACTCCTATTGTAAGGGTGCGTTTGTTGCACCGGACTATCTCGGAATGACCACACTTCTATTATAATAAAAGTTCACTGCCATGAGGCGTCCCAATCAAATAATGCAATGTTATGAAGTGAGAAACTTACACAGAGCGCCAAAATGATGGTAAAGGAGAGCAACACACTCCCGGCTGAATTACCGGGAAATGGTAAGGTCAGTTGCAAGCAACAGAAAATTTAGGTTTTTGCCATGAAACAAAAACTTCTACAATTCAACACAATGGAGCCGAAATTTCAATTATACAGATAGTTTCACTTCTTTTTTTGTTTTTGGGAAAAAAAAAGTTGCACTAATAGTGATACACTAATGGCTCTTTTGCCACTGTAGAAGTAAATTTTCAGCTTCATACTTCCATACGGCATAAAAGAAGGCAGAGGTGAATAATCAAAACTTGCAGTCAAGAGAAAGCCAAGCAGCACAGGATGATCCAGAAGGAGTTCTCAGAAGTTACAGGTAAAGCTTCTGCAATCGTTCAGCCCTTACCCTGCGAGAGAGAAAAGTATGCAGTTATACATCGTTGGTTTCAGAGAAAACGCAGTTGATAAACTTGGATAAACTCCAAGGTCACCAATCGATGAATTAACTTACAGATTTCCCCATAACAACTAATTCACATCGCCAATTACTTTAGGCTTCCATTCACTACTATTTGACCTACTGTAAGTATCCAAGGATGCCAGGTAAGATACTTCTTACATTTGATTCATCAAAGTTTCGTAGCTATTAATACAATCACGATTAACTCTCCACGAAACATTAAAAACTTAGGGAATGATAACCGCACACCCTTTTTCTTCCCCAACATACCCCCGTCTAATTCTGTCCATTGTTTCTGTTTAATTAATTCAATCCGTAGGCCAGAAACAAAGAGAGGCATGTAGGAAGAGAAAAATGGTGTGGCAATTCCCAAAACTTATAGCAGTTTTTCCCCTATTGCTTTTTGGAAGTAATTCTTATTTCTAAATTTATGTACCTTGTGAGGAGGAGTTCCTGGTCTTAACATGTTGTTTATCCCAAGCTTCCCCTTCTTCTCAGAGGCTTTCAAAATCTGGAAGGAACATGTCAATGTATCATCTACACTCATCATGGCACCAGCATTATCAAACTCCCCACAGTAATTTGGAGCTGAAAATATGGTAACCAGCTTCCTTTTTCCAAAAAACTCATATCCATCTTCCACAACCTGATAAATGAAACCCAAGAAATTTAATAAGAAATGGACAAACATTGAGAGACTACTAATAAAATTCAGTTTGCATCTCAGACCAGGCAAAAACATGTTCACAACTAATCATATAAAGAATTTCACTCCAGCATCAATTGAAAGAGAGTATCCAATCAATTAAATGTGTACGTGACGGAACAGGTGAAACACAAGAAGTCCTCCTGTGAATAAATTTTTCAAGTGTGCACCTATTTATTGAAAAATTTATACCTGTGCCCAGAATCTCAACACAGCACATGGCATACTAGCATTCGATACCAATACATCATTAGGGTAACAACCCAATGGACATGCCACAATGACAAAGTAGATGATGAGTAGTGGAATGAATATGACAAGGAGTGGAAATCAACCCATAAAAACAGATAAATCATGCAAACACACACAGAATCTCAAATTATAACTTACTCCATGTGCTTTTACATGTTCACCAAATTCGAAAGATGAAATTTTAAATAAAGTTACTTCAAAATTATCATCCATATTACTGTCATGACAAGTTTAACTGTACAATAAAAGTGATTATTTGAAGATGCATCACATGAGGCCAAATATTTAAGTTCCCAGACTTTGTGTATACATGAGCATGCAGGTCCAGTTCAGTATAAAAAAAAACAAAAAGAGAGAAAATAACTTCATAGCACCTGATGAGCGCGGCAAATAAGATCTAGGTCATGTTTCTGGAGAAACTCAGCAACCTTGTCAGCCCCAAATGTATATGACACGCCACGATCATTCTCTCCCCAACCTTCAACATCTTTATCAGGATCAGCCCATAATAGATCACAGAGAAGGCCCTGATCTGGCACATCCACTGGCCGTGCAATATTCCTGATCTCATCTAAGTGTTTCAAATCAGGAGATAGACCGCCATGCATGCAAAGGATCTTCTCATCAATAAGAGCAGCAACAGGAAGACAGTTGAAGCAGTCAGTAAATGTCTTCCAAATACGAACATTAAATCTTCTCTTGCACTCATCATAGAATCCATAGATGCGGTTGATGGAAGCGCATTCATGGTTGCCTCTGAGGAGAAAAAAGTTCTCCTTGTATTTGATCTTGTATGCAAGGAGAAGGCATATTGTCTCTATGCTCTGCTTACCACGATCAACATAGTCTCCTAGGAATAAATAATTGGCTTCTGGTGGGTACCCACCATACTCAAACAGTCGCAAAAGATCTGAAAACTGACCGTGAACATCTCCTGGGAAACAAAGAGGGAAGATGAGCGTTGTCATCTTAGTAATCAACAGAAATTTCACATGTTTTTAATTTAGGAAACCATTATAAAAAAATAAATATAAATAAAAAAAGACTAACATACATCTACATTGTAGATTCAATTTGAAATCGGTCTTTCATATTTATTTAAAACAAGATCCTTTTACCGTGATCAACAGAAACGAATTTGCTTCCATTTCATAAAGACAAGAGTGAAGATGAGAATGCAAACCAAATAAAGGTTGGTGGTCATGAGTATAAAATTACTTCACTGAAATTCCTTAACAAGTCATGGCGCTAAATGGTGGAAAGTGAAAGGAACCTAATAAACAAAAAAGTGGAGCCCAAAAGCTATGCTTGCCCTCTGCATCCAATAAATAGAAGCTATATGTGCTATTTTGTGTGCTATAACAATTCGAGTGACACGTAACACTACAAGACTGGCATACTAGAAAAACACAAGAAAATTTAGCCGACATTCAAGTTGTATATGCCAGTGTAATAAATGAGGATCAAATATAACGGCTAATGCATGGTAACATCAACTTTCCACATTTACCCGCAGGAAGGGGGGGGGGCATCAAATTTTGACTACATTCATGAGTCAATCTCCACCTCAAAAAAGGGTACTCTCATTCGTCACAATGACGAACTTCAATGGCTATCCACCAAATCCAACTTCAGAGAATGCCTACTTACACAAAGCACATATGGAACTAGAGACGCAAAAATCGATGCCTGTCTAATCTAAAAGTTGAAAAAAAAGCACAATACAGCCACATCATAGACACTAGTCCTGGATGACCTAAGAACTATTCTTCAGAGTAAGAAGCATATTTAACGCACCAACAGGCAACCATGCCAAAACAAAAGACAAGGGACAAGCTAACGAATTACTGAAAGGCTCATACGAAACCTCATGGCGCAATGCTCAAAAGTTTTGTCACATACCCCTGCCAAAGTCGTAAAATTTTCTAATGAAAAGCTACATTAAATCCTCTGACCCTCAACTTTACTTCACAAGAAAAAACCAGTAATAATCCAAAATGTGCTAAATCATACTTTCCACTTTGCAATATATATATATATATATGTGTGTGTGTGTGTGTGTGTGAAATTTCACCCATAAAGCTAACAGATTAATACATATGGATATAGTAACCCTTTTACTGGTAATTGCCCCTTCTGCTCTAATCAAATGAACCATAAACCGAAAAAATAAACTCATTTTCTTTCCAACAAATTACACAAACCAGACATACAAAATTCCAATTTCCAACCATCAAACTCTTTTTATATTTGCAAATTACCCACATTACTCTTTCACACAATCAAGTCCAAATTCAACACATAAACATGCAAACAAAGTCAAAGAAGCAACTTTTCAGTTCATCCGAAGCGAAAAACCAAAACTTTCAATCCACATATCAATTAAAAACCCTAGTCCTTTACCACAAATCTTAATTGGAGCTTCAAGCTCCAGAAGATTCGGCTGACTGAGAAAGATTTCCTTGGAGGCAGAGCAAAGCTGCCGTATTTCAGCTTCCGTCAGTTGCACCTGTTTGGTGGTCCGGCCATTCTTCGCAGCCACAAGCTTTCGTATAAGATCGTCGACAATACTCTCGTCCATCACAGCAAGTCTTCTCTACCCACCCACAAATCGCACCCAGAAAAAAAAAAAAAAAACCCAATAAAGCAAACGAACCCAGAATACCAAAACCCTAGCTCTTGGGTGAGGTGAAAATTGAGAGGAGATCCGAGAGAGAGAATCAGAAGAAAAAGAAGAGTGTCGAAATCACAAGGAGAGATTTTGGGAAATAATATCTAGGGATTTACATGTTGGAGAAGATGTGGTGGAGGTGTGCGTGGAGGCCATTTTCGGCTGGTAAAATGACGCAGAGAGGAGAGAGAGAGAGAGAGAGAGAGAGAGAGAGAGAGGAGAGAATTGAAAAGTGAGTCCGAGTTGGGGTTGGGGGAGGACATGGCGGGTATTTTATTATTATTTTATTTTTGCTTAGTTTGGTGGATTTTTGAAATTTCATACATCTATTTTTTTTATTTTTTTATTAAACGGTATATTTTGTTAGATTAAATTAGATGTTAGATTAGCCACTGATGATATTTGAACTCACACCGTCATGCAAGAACTCAACTGTTTTCACTACTGTGGTAAATGTCACTTGCCTATTTTATTTTTTCATACTAGTGATATTTGAGAAGGATCTAACAAATTTTACCATTAGCTTCTTATTCATTGCATCCTTAAAACCGCAAATTTAATTATCTGTTGCGAGTCATAAAGAAATCAAAATTCAAGAATGTGGTCTGTTATGATAAATATTTTTAACCACTTCTAATGTGATGCCATAAATTATATAGAAAGATTATTATGTTTATGAATTGTGATTTGGTTACAATTATGAGACTCGAATTCGTAATGCCAAGAATTTTTTGTTTCCTATATTTCGATCTTATTTGAATTTTCTTGCTAATTATGATCTAGAGAATTAACTCAACAAAATGGTATATTCGATTTTTCACCCACTATATATGCAATTTTCGTAAATATTTACACCATTAAATATGTGAAGAAATATGTCACATGGCTGGAATTAGTAAGACATTCGATTTCCGATTACGTTATCCTCCTATTTGCGTGACATGCTAATGTAATTTTCTTCTACAAAATGATGCATGCACATTGAATAATAATGACTTATATTTCAAATCTTAAAATTCCAACTAATGTGACAACATTTGTTTTTTGTTTATATTTCACTTGCTCAATGATTGACTTTCCTTTTCCTTTTGCATGGTTGCCGTATTCGGGGAACAATAATAAAGTTGTAGGCTCTTTAGTTCATTTTTATTCTTCGTTATATATTTTAAAGTTTGAGAAGAGTGTGGTTGTAGCTTAACTACAATCTCAACCCGATGAGTGAACATCGTAAAGAAGATAGAAGTAGAAAAATATGAATAAGATGAAAATAGAGTTTTGTCGGGATATTGGGTGTCACACTAGAGTGATAGTTAAGATGAATTTTATTTTTCGATACTGTATAATGTTAGTGAGTATTAGTAAGGGAGGAATTACATTTGCTTCTTTTAATGGTTGTCAAATTTTTAATAGTAAATTTGTTCATTCATGCCACGTAAAAAATTAACAGATTTAATGATAAAGTTTCAAAAAATAAAAAATAAAACGAAAATTGAGTTTCAAAAATTAAAATAGCACAATTTGAATAAGAAAAGAAATGAGCTTAAAATGGAATTTCATCAGACTTTTTGCTTTTCCTTTTCCATTTTCCACTTGACTTGACTTACCACCCAACACTACACATGCTTCTCTCCCATTGGTGCTCCCTTTGGACATGCCACCGCAAGCAATCCCCAATTTTCTCATGTAATTTGGATTGGATAATGCCACGTCATAAAAATAACCCCATACCCAACAAAAAACATGTGTTTTTTTTAGTACATCGATATTTTTATAATAACAGAAAGGGAAAACAAAAACAAGTGTTTTGAATCACCATCGATGCGTGTGCATTTTTTCTCATCACTTATGTTCATCATACATCTCATTATCTAATGCGTATTCTTCTAATTAACTATGGTTAATTTTTTTTTTATCAAAATTAGAAAATAAATTTTTAAGATTAAAATTAAGTGAGTTTTAACGAAAAGTTCACAGTACTGTTCACTTTAAGGAAAAACCATATTTTTACACTAAAAAATCAAACTTGTTACTATTCACTTCGCTCTTTATTTTGTCCTTATCATTAAAACTCAAAGTTTTCAAACCATTTTCATTAGTTTTCGTTAAAATTAATCATAATTAGCTGAAAAGATACATGTCATATGATGAGACGTATAATAAACATACATCATAATTATGGTGATGAGCAAAAGTGGTTGCCCGACGGTAGCCTCACCGGAATATTCCCCTTTTACTTCCCGTTACCAAACACACCTCACCCTTTCCCGAAAACTATAAATACTTCTCTTTCTTCACCCTTTCCTGTTCTTGCCCTAGCCTAGAAACCCCCATTTCGCCGCAACGTCCCCAATTTTCTCTCTCTTTCTCTCACTTTCTCGCACCAAATCCACAATTTCCTGCACATTTTCCCGAGAAAATTCGCCCAAATGGTCCTTCCCAGATCACTTTAGCTGATTCCTCCTCGTTATGGATCGCAGGGCGGTGTTCGGCGACTCCTTCTGTGAATTTATCGGCTGAGTGTTGTAAATTTATCGGTTGAGTGTTTTGGCGATGGAAGCGGTGGACTTGAGTTTTCCCGTGGATGTAGCCACCGTGCCGAAGTTTTTGGGTGTGGAGGCGCTTGTGAGAGCTGGGGTTACAGTCAAGGAGCTAGAACCTTGTGATTCGGACCGCGTTTCGGTCCGAGTTACCTCATACACCGAGGCTTGCAGCTCATCGTTGAGGGATAAAGGTGGTTTCTTGGCCTGTTTTCTTAGTTTTATTTGACATTTGAATTGTGGGTTTTATGTTTCTCTCTTGCTTTTAGTTGTATATTCACAAATTTAAGTTTTGAGGTTTGCTATGGTTGTTAGTTTTCGGAATCGCAGCTCATTATATTTCCCAATTTAAGCATTTCCTTTGATTTTCCTTGTTTATTTGTTACTTGCTCCAATATTTGTAGTTTTACTTTTAGTCTAGTTTTCTTTCCAGGATTTCTTCATTTGGTTGTGTATATCGTTTTGTTACTGAAAAGTTTCGTAATTTTATGTACTGGGGAATGGTTATGTTCTCAGAGTTAACGAATGCGGTTAGTACTTCAGAGAATGAACCAACTAAGCTCGGTGATATGATGTGCCGGGGCAGCAATCGGAGTGAAGAATTGTCCAGGCATCTACATGGCAGGGGAAAAAATGGTTTTCTGTTGGATACTGGTGCTGATAGCGTACAGTTAGAACGGAAACCAGGAAAGTTGTCAAAATTGGGTGGTTTATCTAAGAGACGACGTGTTGCTCGATTTGAAGATCCAACGAGCCTTGTTGAAGTTGACGGGATAAAGGATATGTCATATAAGCTTGGATCTTTACTTATAAAGTGTGGTTCATCAGGTAATATATGTTTCTTTTGGAGCTGTGAATTAGTTATTTGACGTAAATGCTTGTTTATTATCATCAGGTTCCAAATTCAAAAAACTGACCCGGGAAGGTCTTTTAAGATGGCAGATGCCATCTGTGGTCTCTTCACATGTGCAATTTTAATTGGTCTGTATTTATTAGTCGCTTAAATGTTAGATTAGTAATTTTTCGCCTATTGTGTTTTTTATTTTCTCTGGAGTTGTTTAATGCGGCGAATGTAAAATTTTCTTGGCTGGAAAGTCCACTTTATTGTCACAATTCTTGATGTTGGGGAAAATTAAGATTCCCGGACAGCTCTTACTTCTGTTGGCCACATCAACATCATCTAGCTATTGTCAGTCTGTTGCTTAACATCAGAGTATTATGGATTAATTGCAGTTGATTGGAAGTAAATATTTTTCTTAGTGAAGCATAAGTAACGGAGATTCTGGAATGAAAATATTGCATGAGGATAATATTCCAATACTAAAACTGTCCAAACCCACTCAAAATATTTACAGTCAACAATATATATATATATATATATATATATATATATATATATATAATTATTATTATTATTATTATTATTATTCTTATTATTATTAACCAAACCTTTTGTCAGTTTCCCATGTAAGCTCGTAGGTGTGTGATATTTTGATTACCAATTATATACATGCTCTGGACGTATAGGCATTTTTTCCTATATAAAAATGTTGTTAAACATTAGCGGTTATTTAGCACATGGATCATTTTGACGTTTGTTCAATAGCTGAACTGAAGCATTTTTAACTTTGAACCTTCGCAATGGAACTTTAAAAGGTAATCGAAGGAATAGAAATTACGATATTTCCCTCCGATGACTGAGGATGCAATGTTGTCTGAGACTTTTTCAAGCATTTTAGAATGCTGTGGAATTACATCTGCTGGGTCCATAATCTTCTTTCTGCAAATTCTTTTATTCCTTAAAGTTCAATTGATGTACTAGTTCTCCTTCTTTGAGAGTAAAAAAATTATGCCCCACTAGTTTCTTTAGGCCTCATTTAGTCACTGGCTTTGGATTGTGATGGACAACCCAATATATTCATGGTACGTTGAAGGAACAAATGAAATAAGTTTCCTTCATGTCAAATCTCCTTCTAATCCTCCCAAATGAGGCCTTTGGGCGTTTGACGTGTCCATTGTATCTTGCAGGACTTTTCTTCTTTTATATTAAGTTAACTGTTAATTTTATTTGAGTGGTTGGAAATTTTAAACATTAACTTGCAAGTGCTGTCTCCAAAATGCATGCTTTGATTTTCTATGGCCATAATGCTATACTTAACCACACTGCGTGTCCCATTAAATGTGTAGGATTTTCCTTTTCATGGATTTTAAGTGTTTCTGCTGAGAGCTATTCTGTGCCTTTCTGTGTTATACATTCCAGATAAGACTCAATTGGTGAAACAAAAGAACAACTCTACAAGCAAGCGAGGTGAAAAGAGAAATCTCAAACTTCCTGCAAAGACTAAACACGATTCCTTCTCTGTAAAGCCGGGTTTGGCAAGCTTCAGTTCAGCCGCTGGTGGAAACAACTTTTATGGTATGACATTCCACGAAAGGCAAATTCCTTCCTTCAATGTATCATGACCTCCTTAAAGGAGTGTATTTGTTCCATTATTACCAGACTATCAATGTGCATACTGGGCAAAAATTAAATTGTAATTTAAATGAATGTCAGGAGTACATGGCCTTAAGTCAGATAATCACGATGTTACACAGCTGGTAGATGATGTGCCACTGAATGAGCTCCTTGATGGGACATACAAGTGTCCTAGCTTAGGCAGGGGAAAGGGGAAGAAACCAGCAAATGTAAACGAT